CTTCAGGCTCACACTGTTATGCATCATATATTTCTCTCAACCAATGTATCTGCCTGAAAATATATGTTAAATGTTGAAAACGGTGTCAACATCATTCTGAGTGATGATGACTCTATTGGCTCCTTCCACCTACACATTCTGAGGGAGTCAGTGTTTGCTCATTTTGGTGAATGACAGGCACTCAGGGAAGATGGCGATGCTCATTGGTGGGTAATGGAATGTAGACGTCTTACTGGACAAGTTTCAGGATGAACACATTGGTGTTTGCTCGTGGGCTCCCTTTTTCAATCTAGGGAGTTCCAGGTATAAAGAATGAGTAAAGCTTATTCATTTGAGATATTGCCTAAACTCAATTTTCCTGGAGACTATCCTGTTTGTTTTTTGTTTGTTTGTTTGTTATTCCTCACCTGAGGATTTTTTTCCATTGACTTTTAAGGGAGTCGAAGAGAGAGGGAAAGACAGAGAAACATCTATGTGAGAGAAACATTGATTGGTTGCCTCCTGCTTGAGCCCCGACCAGGGCCTGGGCCTGGGCCAGGGAGGAGTCTGCAACTAAGGTACGTGCCCTTTGACCAGAATTGAACCCGGGATCCTTTGGCCTGCAGGCTGACGCTCTATCCACTGAGCCAAACCAGCTTGGGCAATCCTGTTGTTTTTAAGTTAATGCATGTGCCTGTATGACCTGGGTTTCAAGTCTCTTTGGGTTTTCAGTACTCAGCACATGACCTCCACATTTGTTTCTCTGGACTCCCTTTCCTTCTATTTTCCTCATCTCATTGTTGTTGAAGTCGATTTTACAGGAAACCAGGAAAATATCTTTCTTAAATACATAAAGGCCAAGAAATGTGGTAAGTTTCTGCTTAAGCTCGATCATCATCTTCTCACATCCCCTTTTCCTTTCCCACCTAAATAAGAGCAACAGAACTTGAGGCCATGTCAGATCAACTCAGCCTGTCAGCACAGGCTGCATGGTTGACCTCTAAATTCCTTGGGCAAATTTTAAGTTCACATTTCTTCATTTTGGCTACTTTGACAGGGGCTTTAAAATAGAAACAATGGGTGCAGACATTTGAGGCTGTAATGTGAATAGTGGTACTTGTAAAGGTAAAGGCAGTTGACATTTCTGTACACAAGACACCTGGATGAGATATGAAGTTGGGTCCTGTCCCTTCAAAGCTGGAGGCAAGGAAGTGGTAAGGCGAGTTTCCTAGCTGGGGGGTGAGCCTCACCAATCACCCAACACCTGCATCTCAGCACAGCCTCTTTGTTCTGTTCATTACAGCCTACACATTATCTGTCATGAGGAGATTAAACAGAACAAAACAAAAACTGTTTCTTTGTGTTAAAATGGCCCCAAAAGATATGCTGGTGATGGAAATGAAGAGGTTTAAGAAAATGTTGGTTCTTAGTGCTCCGACCCCAAAAGAGAGATATTTAGGATGTATTAAGGGGCAGGCAGTTAAATTTGGAAGAGCCCAGCTCTGTGCCACAAATGACTTTATGTGCAGTAATGCATGCCTGGGAGGCCCTAGCTCCCTGGGATTGTGGCCCTCCTTTTCTTTTAGAGGCCAAGTGGGATGACTTGAGCCCTTTAGTCAACATATAGGGCAAAAGCCACTAACCTCCCCCACTTTAGGTACCCTGGTTTCTCTACATAGAATAGGTTTATGCTCTATTCTTTCTCCCAAGAATAGACTTATGCTCTCCCATTGTAGCTGCTTTTCTCTGAGAAAAATCCATCAGCCTGCTGGTCAGCTTGGTCCCTGGTCATTGCTCTCAGCTCTCAGCTCTCAGCAGAGCCACTGTGTGGTCACCACCTCCCACATGCCCTGCCTCATGCTGATCCCACCCTACCTGGGCCTTTCCCGAAGCACCATGCACCCCAGCTGTTGTGGAGCAGGAGCAGGCTTCCCCGAAGGCTTGGTGGTAAAGGGGAAGGAGTTACAGCGGCCTGAACGCGGCCTCTCCCGCAGGGAATCAGTCCTTGATGATGTTCCCTTCAGACCCGGCCTTGGTTGAGGTATATAGGACAGTGGATATGAATGCAGGCTCTAGGCCCACATCCTGGCTCCCCCATTCACTAGTTATTTAACCTTGTTACCCTCCTTAGGTCTCATTCCATGTCTAAACGTGTACCTTCCTCTTAAGATATTTGTGAGGATTTAATAAGATAATCCGTGTAAAGTGAGCAGCCCACTGGCTGGCACATAGTGGTTACTCAATAAATCATATATGTTGTTATTATGAGAAGTTGCTCAGTCTCCCCTAGTTCTCTCTAAACCACTGATTAACAACCCTGCTGCATCACTCACACATACATCCCTGTACCCATTACAGTAGAATCTTTCAGAGTAAGTTTGGGCATCAGTAATTGCTTAAGTTCCCCAGGCAATTCTAATGTGCAGCCAGGCTGAAAACCACTTCTATAGATTCTTTCCACATCTTCCCCCTTCTCTCTCCTGGGCCACCCATCACCTTTCTCCAGGCCTGCCATAGGAAGTCAAAATTCTCCTATGTTTCCCCCTATTTTATTATAAGCATAGCATTTGGCTCTCTGTGACTCACCCCTGCCCATCTAGGCTTTGCCCAGGGGGCTTCAGCTTTCTCATTATTAAAATATTCGTGAAGTGTTTTCTGCTCTAGCCATGAAGTATAAGAGATTACATTCAGTTGCTTTAAATAACACTTTTTTTCACAATAGAGAAAGTGACTATAGTTCTCCCCAAATTGAGTTATTGTATATAACTCAATAACTGCACATGTCCCTTTCAGACTAGGGGATCAAGGATCCCAGCCACATGAGAAGCTGGAAGCCACTGGAGCACAGCCTAGCAGCACTCAGAGTACTCCAAAGCAGTGCTGTGGGTCTCAGTGGGCTTACAGCCTTGGCTCACATTAGAATTCCCTGAGGAGCTTTCAAACCTGGCCCATGAATTGTCTTTTGTCCCAGTCAGTTGGCTCTTAGCATCCCCTATCTTGTTGGTTAGTTATGTTCTGGGTGCAGGGACTACCTCTGTAGCTACAGTGTCTTTCTTTGAGGGCAGGGACTGTGACTTATATCTCTTTGCATCCTCAACTCAAGCAACACATTTTCATTAACAGTGAATGACTTTTGGCCATTGTACTGGGTTGAATAAGGTCCCTCCAAAATTCATGTATATGCATATGTAATCAAGTTAAGTGAGGCCGTACTGGATTAGAGTGGCCATAAATCCAATGTCTTGTATTCTTTATAGAAGAGAGAAGTTTGGACACAGGAGACACAGGAAAAGAAGGGCAAGCAATGGTGGAGGCAGAGATGGGAATGACGCAGCTGCAAGAAGGAACACCAAAGACAGGCAGCAACCACAAGCTCAGAGGCAGAGGAGTCTTCCCTGCAGAAGGATCATAGCCCTGCCCACACCTTGGTTTCGGCTTCTGGCCTCCACAACCATGAAAGATACATTTCTGCTGTTGTAAGTCACCCAGTTTGGGGTGTTTGCTACAGCAGCCCTGGGAGACTCCCCTGGGAATGCTGAGCATGCTGTGGTACTTAGCAGAGGCCTTCTGGGACCACCATCCAGCCTCGGGCAACTGCTTTCTGAAGACCCAGGCGCTGATCGGAGCGCGGTTTCAAGGGAAGGAAGGGGCTAAGTGAAGGCAGTGGGTGGACAGGACAGGGAGAGCGCTGGGTATGGTCTGAGTGTAGAATAATCTAACACAAAGTTTACAGAATTCATGTTAACGGTGTTTTTAGAGTCCCATCATAGAAACAGTTCTCTTTAGGACAAAAAGGTTGGTCTGGGAGTTGGAGATAGTAGAGCAAGTGAGTTAAATGGATAACCACTTTATGATATGATATATTAAAATAATAACATGGACCTGTTTGGGAGTGTGTGTGCGGATTTCATGGCGGCCTTCCTGAGGTAACTGGAGGCCCCTGTGAGCTGGGCTGCTGGTGGCTGGTGAACCATTTGGATTCCAGTCCTGGAGGCCTCAATTTCCTCAGTTGTTAACAGCATGGACACCAGGATAGACCTCCTGCTTCTGGGTTCTGGCCTGCCACTTACTGGCAAATTATTTCACCTCACTTGCCTCCCTCTTCTCATCTGTAAAATCAGAATAGAAATGGCACCTCCCTCCTAACGCTGTAAGGATCGAAAGAGTTAATCTGCATAAGTTGCTTAGAATTAGCACCTTTGATGGATAATAGAAGCCTCGTGGTTTTTGTCATTACCATTACCATCACCATCACCATCACCATCACCATCACCATCACCATCACCATCACCATCACCGTAGCCATCATCATCCTGATGTGCAAATGAGGGAGACCAGAGGGGTGAATTGGTGACTTTTACTGACTTGTCCAGAGAGGGGAGTTCCCACTGGGAAAAAAGATGAGTGCAAAACTAGCCATTTGCTTGAAAACAAGCCTGTTAAATGGATATTACTTGCTCCCCCTGAGAACAGGGAACTTTTTAAAGGGCAGGGTATTCTCAGAGTCTCTATTACTGTGGACAGACTCTAGATCCTGGGAGTAAAGACGATGGGATCCCTTTCGGGACTCCTAGCCGATTTACCAGGTCCTTTCCAGCCCCCCACCATCCAGCCAGGCACACAGCAGGCCCTCAGTCACCTTAGACCTCGAGGAAGGAGTAAAGAAACCAGTTGGGAATGGCTCTCCGGGTGCGCTCCCTGCCCCACCAGGCAGACCACAGACCCTAGGAGCTCTGGCCCGCGAAGTGGGGGAGCTCCGCCGGGGCGCCTGCGAGTGCAGGAATGAATTCCGAGCACAGCGCAGAGCAGAGCGCCCGTTTAATAAAGTCAGCCTATGCACAGGAACCCGCCACACGGGCCCAGTGGTGGGTATTGCCCAATTGGCTAAGTAGGCGTGTGCTTGGATTCATTTAACATGAATCCAAGTTTTGGGGTGAGCAGGATTGGTACCAGATACCGCGCCCGCGCGGCCCGCCACCCTCACCCCGCTTGCGGGTCAAGAGGAAGCCGCGGTGTCTATTTGGCAGGTAGGCACTGATTGAAAAAACAACTTTGTAGTCTATTTATTGAGCATAAGCTCCCCCTTCCCACGCTGCTCCTCGATGACACTTCTCCGGGCTGCGTGGGACAGTTATCTTACCAATGGAAGCGGGCGAGTCCCGCAAAGCCGAGCCTCGCGGAGCCCAGCCTTCGGGGGCGGGGGAAGCAAGAAGACGCAGATGTGAGTTTGCGTTATGACCGCTCTGAGCAACTCTTTCAGGCCGCGGGTTTCTGGTCTGTTTAACGCGGGGAGGGAGCCGAACCTGGAGGA